TGCACATACGTTGAGAGCGCGTATCACTAATTCCAGAATTCTGCACACACCCATCAATTGGACTAGTTTGTGATACTAAAGGACTACAATGCCAACCTGCCCAAAGCTAGCTGGATAAAGTGACTACGCAATATCATGCATGAACCAGGAATGAAATTCCAAAACAGCATCCTTTTCGCTGGCAAGCTCCCGCTAGCAACGAAAAACTAGTACATTAACACCGCATTATGAAGCCAATTAAAAGCGAGATTAGGCAACACCTCCTTCACTCTGCCACTTAAAGCGCATCCGTCTCAGACATCATAGACTATTCACATTACGCCCCTCAGGAATGCACTTGCTGATCGCATGCCTGTACGATTCAACATCGCCGCGTGTAGTCATCGTACGCCAGTCATAATTATTCATTGAATCGGCAGTCAGTATATCTAATTCACTTATTTCGTCGTACAGCATCTCTTCGAGCACACATATGTGATCCATCTGCAGGCCTTTCACTTCTAAAGGCGACGGTATAAGAAGAGGACTAGAGTAGGATCGTAACTGCAGGAGATGATGTCAAGGTCACGCCCGCCTACTGATACCAGGAACGCATCGATAATTATTCAATATCTTCTCTTCACCAATCCAATGTCTTGCCGTTAATTCCATGTCTACTCATAAAGCTAAATGATCCTACCTTCGAGCATTGACTGTCATTCTGTTACCTGAATTGTGGTCATGTGCTATTAATGCCTACACAGAGTTCACCCACTAGCCCTGTTTTAACTTTATCTATCTATCCCATCCTAGTATGTATAGTACTGTAGTCATGTAGTATGTATGCTACACGTACTGTACTGTCCCATAGTATGTATGTATGTAGTATGTATCATATGTATGATACTGACCTATGTCATTGTATGTTATGATGTATGTATGTATGTATGTATGATCGTATTTATGTATGATATGTATGTAGTCATCACGTAGCATGTATGTATGTATTCATGTATGTATGTATGTATGTATGTATGTATGTATCGTATGTAGTATGTATGTAGTATGTATGTATGTATGTAATGTAGTATGTCATGTATGCTATGTACTGTACTGTATGTATGTCATGTATGTATGTAATGTATAGTATGTATAGTATTATGTATGCTATGTATGATATGCTATGTTGTATCGTATGTATGAGTACCTGTAGTATGTATGTAATGTATGATGTATGTATGTATGTATGTATAATATGGTACGTATCCTATGTTGTATTATATGTACAATGCTAATCTAGTAGCATGGTATAGTATTATACTAGTAGTACTGTATCTAAGTACTGTAATGTAGTAGTATGTATGTATCGTACTCGCTGTAATGTATGTATGTATGTAGGTATGTATGTATGTATAGTAATAGTATGTATGTATGTATGTATCTATGTCATGTATTATGTATGTATTGTATTGTATGTATTGTAGCGTATGTATGTATGATGTATGTAAGTATGGATGTATCGTATGTACACTACTGATTGTATGCTATGTAGAGGTATGTGATGTATGTATGTATGTATGTATGTATCGTATGTATTCATTCGCTAGTATTATGCTATGTATGTATGTATGCTATGCCACTGTATGTATGTCATGGAGTACTGTATGTATGTATTATTTATGTATTGTATGTAGTATTGTGTATGATATTATGTACGTATGTATGTATTTACTGTGTATGTATGATATGTATTATGTATGATATGTATGTAGAGGTATGTATGTAGTATGTAAGTATGTATGTAATGTAGTATGTATGTATGTATGTATGATTTATGTATGGTATGTATGTACGGTATGTATCTATCTATTGTATGTATGTAGTATGTATGTATCGTACTGAGTAGTATGTAGTAGTAAATGTGTATGAGTATGTATGTATCTAATGTATGTCTATGTATGATATGTATGTATTATGTATGTACTGTACATGTACTGTATTGTATTATGTATGTATGTATGTACGTATGTATTGTATCCATCCATCCATCCAATCCATACATCCACTCCATCCATCATCCACCATCCAATCATCCATCACACTCCATCCATCACCCATCCATCCTATCCATCATCCATCATCATCCATCCATCCATCCAGCCATTCATCCACCCAATCCACTCCATCCATCCATCCATCAAATCCATCCATCCACTCATCCAATTCAGCATCCATCCATCCATCCATCCATCCATCATCCATCCATCATCCATTCCATCCTCATCCATCCACTCCAATCCATCCATCCATCATCCATCCATCCATCCATTCCAATCATCCATCCTCCATCCATCCATCCATCCATCCATCCATCCATCCATCCAATCCATCCCATCCAATCCATCCATCCATCCATCCATCCATCCACCATCCATCACCCATCCATCCATCCATCCTCCAATCAGCATCCACCATCCATCCATCCACTCCATCCATCCAATCCTCCATCCCATCCATCCATCATCCAATCCATCCATCCACCGCCATCATCCATCCATCCTCCATCCATCCCATCCATCCATACCATCCATCCATCCATCCATCCATCCATCCATCACATCCATCATCCATCCATCCATCCATCCATCCATCCATCCATACGATCATCCATCCACCACCATCCATCCATCCATCCCATCCATCATCCATCCCATCCATCATCACATCATCCATCCCATCAATCCATCATCCATCCATCATCCATCCATCATCCATCCATCCATCCATCATCCATCCATATCCATCATCCATTCCATTCATCCACTCCATCCATCCACCCTCCATCCACTCCATCCATCATCATCCATTCCATCCAATCCACCATCCATCATTCCTCCATCAACAACATCCATCCATTCCATCCAGTCCATCAGTCCAATCATTCCATCCCATGCTATCCCAGTCCCCTTCCCCATCCACACCACCCACAGCCACCATCAACTCCATCCACTCCATACACATCCGCATCCATCCATCACATCACTCCACCAACCATCCACTCCACCCATCACTCCATCCCATCCACACTGTCCACCCATCATCCATACATCTTCCCAATCCATCACAGCCATCCAGCTTCCATCCATCATCCACCATCACATCCATCCCATCCATCCATCCAATCATCCCATCCATCTCACCATCCACTGTCCATCCCAATCCATCCATCCATCATCATCCCATCCCATCCATCCACATCCATCCATCCATCCATCCACCAATGCATGCCATCCATCCATCCATCAATCCATCCACCATCCATACCCCATACCAATCCAATTCCATCATCCATCCAATTTTCCTATCCTAACTCCATCCATCCATCCATCCATCCATCAGTCATCCATCTATATACCATCTATCTATCTCATCCATCTCTTATTGGTATATCTATACTTATCTACTCTATACTATCTAGTCATTATATCTATCTATCTATCCTATCTATCTCAGTCTACGCTATCTACTCTATCTACATCTATCTATCTATCTATCTATCTATCGATCTATCATCTATCATCTACTTCTATCTATCCTATCTCATCTATCGATCTAAATCGATCGATCTATCTAATCTATCTTATCATATCTATCTATCTATCTATCTATCTATCTATCTATCTATCATCATCTATCTATCCTATCATTCTATCTATCTTATCTATCTATCATAGCTATTCTACTCTAGCGCTACTAAAATTCTATGTCTAGCTATCTATCCATCTATCTATCTCATTGTTTTCTATCGTATCTATCATATCCTACTATACTATCTATCTACCTTATCTAGTCTTGATCTAATCCTATCTATCTATCTATCGTACTCTAGCTAGTCGACTCCTATCCTATCGTATCTACATCTATCTATCTATCTACCCTTATGTATCTATCTAATCTATCTATCCATCTATCATACTCTATTCTAAATCTATCACTATCTATCTACTCTATCCTACTATCTATCTACTCTAATCTATCAATCTATCTATCTATCTATCATCTACCAGTAATCTATCTATCTATCATACATCTATCTATCGATCTATCTCCCCTATCTATCTTACTCTATCCATTATACGATTCGTATCTATTCTTAGAGTCTATCCTACTCTTCTATCTATTCTGAGCTATCTATCTATCTATCTCAGTCTATCCTATCATCTATGCGGTAGTGCGGGAGCGTATCTATCCTATCCTATCTATCCGGAGATCTATTCTATTTACATACGTAGTTCTCTAATAGTATGATAGTATATATCTATATATATCCTACTCGATCTGATTCAATCTATCTAACTTAATTATCTGTATTATCATATCTATCTATCCGATCCATTCCATCCATACTCCATCTCCGGCGTCCGCCTGTCCTCCGCTCGTCCATCCACCATCTACCATCCACCTCTATCGACCATGACACGCGCTGCACGCCTGCGTGGGCCCCGCCGTGTGTGCTGCCGTGCCGTCGCGTGCGTGCCGCTGCCCTGCGCCCCGTCAGGCGCGAGCCTGGCATCTCAAGCCCACGGTCGTGGCGTGCACCACCTCACTGTGCTTGTGGTGGACTCTCCACGGAAGACTATGCGGGTGTGTGTGTGTGTCGTGTGTATACGTAAGTTGATGAGGTTGAGTGTGAGAGGGTGTTTGAGTGCATAAGGTTTTTGCATTTCATGTAATTGCCCCATTTCTGCTTCATTTATGGAACCAATTATTTTTGCGGAGATAAATGAAACGTAGATTTTAATTAACCAAATAAATTATTTATCGCAATGACGAATTCATTCAATTCACCGAGCCACAAAATCTTGATCCTAATTAATGCACAATGCATCCATCTCTACTGTGATCTTGAATGGAAAATTGTCAATTTTTCCAAGATGGGCTGCATCCTGCTATACTTGAATGCCTATGAGTACATGTGAATGATGTGATACTGTTGCCTAATTGCGAACATCGTTTTGCAGGATGGAAACGACCAGGTCCATTGCATAGAGCAGTGCATGGAGGCTGTGATGGGGAAATCTTCTCTAGCCTTGCCAGACCTTGACGATGATACAGGTAAGACTTATTAGTGCCATTGAAAACAACGTCATTACACGCTTTTGCACTTCGATGAGATTACTGGTTCCATATATTCAGAGGATTCATAATATCAAGGGTTAATAGTGAAAAATCTGTCATTATATTAGCCCCTGGTAATACTTAATATTGTGTATCGGGTGGAGGATTATTCATTTAAAATGTTCCGCACCTACCTAAATATGAATGACGAAATAATCGCAAACAATAATCATTCCATCAACTTAAATAATAGATACATTAATGTTAATAACCAAGGTAAATGCATTAGGCGTTATTTTGACATTTTTAAAAATTGACAGAAGTGTCATCACCGTCATCTTAATTGACCAAATATTTTTTTTTTCAATTAATTCTTCTCGAAGTGTAAGGCATGTTTGCTATATAAACGCCAATCACGTACATCTGGACGCCTCGCGAACCGTTGTTGCTAACCAGTTTATTTTGGAAGCAATTGATTTTGTGTTTGCTTGTCGAAGAATAAAACAATACGTATATCCGCGCTCAATAATTATTGGTAAAGACTGCATGATATAGGCCTTCACTAATGCATCACAGACTGTTGCTGTACGTTCTACGCGGTCAAAGGCGACGACGGAGTTTTCCATACAGGAAATAAGATATAGCATAACCTCAACACGCGAACACCATCCTAAACTATGTCCAGCTGACGCATGCAGTAACCTCCTCGTAGACATAGCAAATTTCCATCTTTGTTCGACTGTGTTAAACCGCACTGATGTATGATCATGGCTTTAAAGTTAGTATGGGGTTAGGCAGAAAGTACTCTACATGAGTCGACTGAAGTTACTACTAATGCTCTTGTCTCATTTAATCTCAGCCTATATCATAGCGACCGATATTGCGACAATATTTCGACGATACCGTTCGAGTTATATACAAGTTCCACGCATAGAAATCAGTACCAGGAACGGTCTAACTACGTACATCAGGTTATCCTCTATTTAAATTCAAGTTTCATCTGACAAGGCAAATATATTCCCAGACGCGCACTTACTCCAGGCTTATCACATATTCTGCTTAGAATCGGCTACAATCGTATGTCGTCTTGCACTGCTTTTTCACTGATTAGCTCGTGTTGAAACAGGAAACTTTCTCGTAGTAATGCGATCCCCCTGACGTGTACTGTATAACTGAACCGACCTCGCGCGCATAGAGAGCTTCTGCAATACGTAGAGAGATACAGCTAGCTATCGGTAATCGCTGCCCACGTTCAGCATTGATATTAATTTGTTCTGTTCTTGGCAGTCCTGAGCGTATTTTGCTGATCGTATATAACGCGACTTACTGACTAACTGACTGACTGACTGACTGACTGACTGACTGACTGACTGACTGAGGAGCGGGAGCCCAACGCGCACGATATGGGATGCACCTATTTCTAGTGAACTCGGGACCATTTTTCTGTACGGATGAGCTTTCTGAATTAGCTTTGTAATTCAGGAGTGCTGGGATATCTGTAGTTATCGTTCTAGAGAGGCGGGTGTAATAAGGTGCAATAGCAATTATAACGGAATCACGAGGGTACCTATACACGTACTTTCGCTGTATCGCCACCTATCTTAAGAGGTGTTGCGTGACGATGACACAATCACCAACAAGATTAATTATAATTATCGCAATTAACCAATCGAGCGTACTAAACGAGAAGATGCTCCCGACAGCATTGAACGCAGTTTATCTCGTATATATTTCAAACAATTAAGCCCACTCGGATAGTCTTTAATTTCTAATAGCATGTGTCGAAAGTAAAATAATTACATCCGAAAACAATCTACCGTCATTATTGGCTACACAAACTGCAGTGATTTTAAATTGTGTGCGAAATTTTTCGGTTTACGGCAAGCGACTCTCGCGCGTTCTCGCGATAACACGATACATAGCTATAACTCGTGGGTTCATTTCCGCAAATAGCCGTAGTGTTGCTGATAGGGTCTATGTCCCCCAGGGTACTGCCGGAACGTACCCTGGGTACGGTCCGGTATACCGTAACGTACCCTAGCTGATACTAAATACTTCTATCTAATATGACGGACCGTACCTCGCCGACTCCACTAACGAGTCTAGGGAGTCGCCTACGCCTACTCCCTAACCCTAGCCCTAACCCTAACCCTAACGCTAACTCTAACCCTAACCCTAACCCTAACACTAACCCTAACCATATCAGATAGATAGTTATCAGGGTACGTTCCGGTATACCGGACCGTACCCAGGGTACGTTCCGGCAGTACCCTGGGGGACATAGACCCTATCAGCCGTAGTGTTTGCTAATAAATTGAGGTACTAATACCGAATTCGATCAGTTCTTGAGTTTGTGGCGCTAGAAATGCCTGGATGGCGTCTACAAAAGAGATTCGTTACATATTTGTGGCATAACTGTAATTTGAGCTCATTAATGTATAGTTATTTTAGATGAACCAGGGTCCGGCTGTTGCGAGTGGAGTGAAACTAGCTCAACTGCATTGTTGTGTATCCGTGAAAGTCGTGATGCGTGTGCGTCTGCACACAGTTACCTCTAGTTACACGGTTAACCTCTAGTTATCGCGAGACATTGCGAGATTATTACGTGTAATTTATAAAAAAATGTGTTACCTTGAACGTGTCGCGCTACGTGAAGGGTAACGTCGTCAATGTGACAAATGAAAATAGTTTGAAGAAAGACGCACCATGCATACGCATCACCAATACATGTACCTACGTGTATACACTATATCGTGAGCTATACGTAAGTCCATCGCGTGCCTGTCGCACAGATCCCCGCGTAATTTGACAACAAAAGATAAGGCGGGTGTTTTTGGCAAATACGTGGCAAATCCAATTACCTACGTACGCCCCAAACTGCCACGTAATATCACCCCGATTTGAAACTTTAAGCGGAAACCACGACGGAAAATAGTAGCCATTATTTCCGCTGTAATTGCTGTCTCCTGCTGTTGCTCGCGATTAGTTGCGAGGTTTCATGCAGGCAACTTGTGCACTGGGCGAAAGAAAGATGGCGGCACATGCATGCGCACGCTGAACACTAGACCTTCCTCTAATTACACGCACGTTTCATACTTCAGCGCAAATTTGCACTTACACATGATCTTATATATATACAGACAGACAGACAGACAGACAGACAGACAGACATTATGAAGACTTATGCCTTATGATATACGCATTGGCGGTAATTGTACATTTCAACATTTTTATCCTTATTATGCCGTTCAGCATTTAATTTACATATCCGCGCATTTATCTATGTAATTATTAGACTGATCACCAATCTCCTCTTATTACAATGCGTCCGCGGTGATCTTTCTTCTGATCGATAATTTTGTGGGTAATAGTTGGCACATAGAGAGCGCTATACTAATTCCAGAATCTGCACACACCTATGCTAATTGTGACTAAGTTGTGTACTAAAAGTGACTAAATGCCACACCTGCAAGCGAGCTGGATAAAAGTTTACTAGAATTCATCATGCATGAACAGGAATGAATCCAAACAGGATTCCTTTTCGGTTGGAAGCTCGCTAGAACGAAAACGATTAGATTTAACACCGATATGAAGCAATTAAAAGCGAATTGCAACACCTCTATTGCACTAAAGCCGCATCCGTCTCAGACATCATTGATATTCACATTACGCTCATGTGAATGTACATTGTGATCGGCATTGCCTGTACGATTCAAGATCGGCGGGTAGTCATCGTACGCAGTCATTAATTATTCATTGGAATCGGCAGTCAGTATATTAATTCACTTATTATCGTCGTAAGCAATTCTTCGAGGCACACAAGTGATCGATGCCTGCATGTTCACCTTTAAATGCGACGTATAGAAGATGGAGAGGGTAGGATCGTAATGCAGTGTAGATGACTGTAAGTGTCGGCCCTACTGATGCCAGGAACGCATGATAATTATTCCATTTATCTTCTCTTTCACCAATCCATGTCTTGCGGTAATTCCATGTATTCATAGCTAAATTGATCGTTACCTTGGCATTTGGACTGTCATTTTACCTGAAATTGTGGGATTGTGCTGTTAATGCTAGTTACCACCATAGCCGTTGTTTTAATCTTTATCTATCTATCCATCTATGTATGTATGTATGTATGTATGTATGTATGTATGTATGTATATGTATGTATGTATTGAATATGTTATGTATGTGATGTAATGTAGTGTAATGATACTGATATAATGTTATGTATGTAAAGAGTATTGTATGTCGACCATGTAGTTATTAAGTATGTTATGTATGTATGTGCTAATGTAGTATGTAATGTAGATTGTATGTATGTAGGACTGGTAATCGATATGTATGAATACTGATATGGATAATGTATGTATGTCTATACCGTATGCCTCATGTATGGGCCTATGTATGTATGTATGTAATGTATTAGTATGTAGTGTATGTATGATCATTTTGATATATTGTATATTTAGTGTTACTGTAAAGTTATGTATGTATGTATGTAGTGTATGTTTATTGTATGTACTGCTGTGACTAATATTTTTTGGGGCTTTTAGTGACTTTTAGTAGATACTCGTATCGGTAGTATGTAAATGATTGAGGTTGGTATACCAATGCCATCCATAAGCCATCCTATTCTTATATCACTCTATATCTATATAGACCACATTTCCCATTTCTTCATCACATCCCATCCATCCATGCCATCCATGCGCATCCATCACGACAACGTATGCCTTTATCCATCGCATCCATGCCATACCATGCCATCATGAGAGTCCATATCAAGAGTCACTGCATCATCGCATCCATCCATACAGCATCCGAGTCCATGCATAGGGCACGATTCGCCATCGCATCACATTCTCTATCTCTATCCGATCATCCATCCATTGCGCGAGCGCGAGTAGCCCAATAACCCATTCCAGCCATCCATCACTGCAGTGCCTCATTCGTATTGACATATTATATAATACCTTATTCCAATACCATAC